TTGCTTGAATGTTTGGTAACAAGTTAAAATTAATAGTAACTGAAAACGTTTCGGGCGGAAATTGCCTCATTTCATTCCCCGTGGATCCGCACCTGCCGAAGCCCTTCAATTATGCAAAATAACTTAGACTGCCTCCCACTTGAAAGTGCATTTTAAGTCTGCTAGCGAACTGTTGAATGGAATCTCGAGTGGGTCGTTCATATAAATGAAATGAGAACAAAATAAAATTGATTATGCTACGCAGTCCAATTTCTCTCTAATTCCGTCAGCCATGTTGCAGCTTGTTTTTATTTTGCGAACGTACTTTCTTGCAAGCTTGCGATATGAATAACATTCTGGAAAAATCTGGTTACATTAAGAGGAAGTCATAAAGAAAAAAATGAAATTTTGATGTTCATGGGATTTTAACATTTTCTGAATATTTAAGTTTTCTGAATATCATGATATATACGTTATTGTAAAAAATGCTGTTTTAATATATTTTTGTTATTTTCTTCACCCATCTGCATGTATCACATGGCAGTCATTCTGGTTACTAGTCTATAATTTACGTTTTATCTTTTAAAAGATCTCATCTTTAAAGCTGTAATTTTCATTAAAATCTAAAGAATAGATAATTATGATACGAGTGATAAAGTGACATATAATTTTGAGAGTAGGAAATGTTGCGACACGAAGGCGATAGGCAGAATGGCACAATCTTGTGAGCAGTGCTAAAGAATTGAACTTTTTAGCACTGTGAATGACTTGACAAAATGGCTTTTACTAGTGATTGTCAAAATGTATCATGTAAAAGCATTGCAATCAACATTATTTAATGCTGATTGCACTGCAAAACTTTATCTTCTATACGTATTTTCGCTTTAAACGTGCTTTGTTTACTTGTTATCATGAAGAGAAGATTGGTTTCATAGAAGAAGAAATGTCGATGCTGATTTCTGAAAAATACCTTTTTGATCACATTTGTTTTAGTGCTTAAGTGATAGTTTTGAATCTCTTGAAGGACAATTAGTAATAATGAATACATGGTCTCAATATTAGTAGAGTGCGTTTCATACTTCCCGATTCTGCATAAAAGTGCAAAAAATGTAAACATTTTGACAATTGCTTGAAATCTGCTGTAAAAAAACGATCCAAATATCTAAATATGCTTGCAATTTTTTTAAACATATTCACCATGCTCTTAAAATTATACAGCGTTAGGTTGAGTACTTTCTTAAGAGAATGGGTCAAATATACAGCGAAATTAACGTGGCAGAGATAGGGCTTTACTCCTATGACGCTCCACGGGGCGAACGGAGCGACCTCTCCGGAATACCTTCAGAGAGGAATTCCTCGCAAATTCTACCAAGAACGTCACGGAAGCCTTGATAAAAGAACCTGGCAGAGAAGCAAAGAAAAGGAGGGAAAAGCAGAGGAAATCTTTTTTACATCCAGAGTAATATATCAAATACATGAATTATAGTTTCTAATTATCATTAAGTTTGTTTCTATAAGAAGTCACAATAGCAATAAACTGTCTATGAATTTGTGTAAATCATTAATAAATTTTCGTTTGTTCATTAGAATATCGTCGGTGTACAAGAGAAGTGATACATCTAAAAAGTATCATTTTGGAAAACATTTTCATTATTTTCAATCATTTCATTCTCATCAGAGTGACATATTTCTTGGCCAAAGACAGTTTTTTCTCCGGCTGTCTTCTGAACTACCTTCGTGAAAATTTTATTTGTAAAAATATTCTATTTTCTAAATATATTTCTTCACTTAATTTAAAACTGCCGATTTTGTGAGATGTGTTATTTTTTTGTCCACCGAAGATATACCAAACTTATTGATAATTAGACAAACCAATAAGAAATACAACAACAATTTGTCTTTAAAAATAATAGTAACCTTTGATATTAATAAATTCCCTCTTATTACTACGATTTAAAGAAAGCGGTTAAAATTAATGACGTCACATCTATAGTATTCTGACTCTAGAGAGCGCGTATGTTGGATTTTGTTTGTTTACTTTTTTCCCCTCTGATACAAAAGCCGTACGACTCGCGGAAAAATAACAACAAAGATTATTCGCCTTCGTATAGCGAGGAACAAAAAAAAGCACATCGACGGCCAGCTGATCGCAAGGCTACGTACCTTCTCGCCGAAGCGGCGATTCCTGGACGGCGACCTCGCGTCCGCCATTGGGAGAGCTCAGAAGGCAATGCTAGGCACGCGGGCGGCGGCGACGGCTGGGCGGTGACGTCACGTACCATAGGCGCCGCCGCCGGCGAGGTCCGCGACACGCCCTGTGGCTCTTGCTGGACACGGTCCTCTTCGAGAAAAGCCTCTAACCAACTTAGCACCCGAGAAAGTGTGCCATTCCGTGCCGTGCGGTTATCGGAAGAGCAGGAGGCCAGAGCGCTGCTGTTAGTGAGGCTCGCAGAGCGCAATCGAGGCGTCACGCAACCCCAGCTGGACGAGTGTGCTCGATGGGTCTCTCGAAAAGAAAATGAAAGTGCGATGAAAATGATGCAGTGTCGTAATCACATATTTTTTTAATTTTTACGTTTCTTCAGAACTACGTCTCTGCAGTTTAAGATATTGATAGTATTTATATGTGGAGTAGTCTTCCGTTAAGTTTCTGAGAGAGGTTGACAAGTCAATGCTCAATATAACGACAACAAAGCTAGGCGAATTGATTTTATTCGTAGCATTTTGCGAAACAATATTACAAAATTTTGTTTAATTTCGTCTGTGAATTATCCCGAAACAATTTATTTGCGTTAATTTTGGATTATAAATAAAAATTATTCCACGTATCCCCGTATTAATTGATGTAACAATACGCGTGTTTTTTTACTTTCCCGCATACGTACGTATATACGAAGTAATGTACGTAGTATAGGGAAAGTTATGTAATGCTGCGGAAAATCGATTTTGACATTTTGACGGAAATACAAATTTTGGAGACCCCTGATACCGAAAAAGTGTTGTTTTTTTGGTTTTGGCTTTTCAAAAGTCCGTCTGTCTGTCTGTGAACACAACTAACGCCTAAACTATGCGTAGTATTTTTTCCAAAGTGATTCGTGTCGTAGTTTGGAGATTTTGAAAATCTTTGTTTAAAATTTCGGGGTACTTTAATGAAACCCCCCGGACATTTTCAAAATGTTCTCAATAACGGCTCCAATTTTTTTTCTTTATATTTGTGGTACGAATAGAGTAAAATACACTTATTTAGGTAGCAAAGTTCCGATTTTCACGGTGAACTCTGAATTTTTTTAAAATTTCAAAAGTTTGAATTATTTTCGGCGTTTTCCTACAAATCCAAAATTGAAGATTTTTCCTTTGTTGCTCATTATCAGTTCTTTTGATAATATCATGCACATATTTTTGAAAATTTTAGTAGTTGTCGAGCAATGTTGCGTGCAATTGTTCGCAATTTCGAAATATTAAAAAAAGTTCTCAAAAACGGCTCTAAATGTTTTCTTTAAACTTTCGGTAGTGATAGTGCTAAATGTAATCTATGAGATAACATAAACATCATATTGCTCTATTCTTTTGTTTTCTCAAGGGCCAATCCATTTTAAGTAGTCCAGCACTGGTCGCTCGACTTTCTTATGTTTTGGCTGATCGAAAACGTCTTTAATTTATTTCTTGTACCTACCTTACAAATGGCGGAAATTTTGTTTTACGCCGTGCACCATTTTTCGCATTTGTAGACACTTACTCATTTTTGAATTACTTAGCTCTGGATTGTTCTAACATTCTAGAATAAAAAGTATTTGATTCAGTATTCTCTTGCCTACAAATTGAAATATTGTTTACATACCTTCTATGTTTTTGTTGGGGAAATATTTTGCAACCAAATCTATGGAACGCAAATGAACGAAATTCTATTTTTAGAGATTATCAAAGAAGAAATCGAATCACAGCCTTATTTTCTTCTGTGCTTTTACCCATAAAAGTATAGTTACGTTTTGTAAAATATCATTGAAAAATAACGAACCACTTGAAAATTACATCCTCCTAAAAATTGGAATTTTGAATTTTTTTTTCAATTTTCATCTGTTATATATCTGTTGGGGGACAAGATAAAAATCTGAAAATTACATACATGCTAGATCGCCGTGATATCAAACTTCAGAAAAAAGTTCAACTTTTGCATTTAACTCAAAGTATTTTTTTTTGTAGACTTACGAAAAAAAGGCTTAATTTCCTCATTGAGGATACGTTGTGCCAACATACGTCTTTTGAAGTTATTCTGATTTAAAATAATTAATTATTCGTTATTATTAATAAACATAAATGTGGCCTAATATATTATTTTCAATGGCAATTATATTTACTTTAAAACAAACTTACAACTTGACATCTACGTTCTTAATTGAAAATATGGTCATCTTGATGTTAAAAGCGTAATCGTCTAATATAACACTTTTTATAAAATATACAAAATAAATTCAGCGTTTTGTTTATATTTTAAATTTGCTATCTTGCTTATTGCTTCTGAACATTTCTGCAGAGATATGGAAGGTCGCGCAAATAACATGTCTGAATTAACAAACAATGCAAGAAAATAAACGGATATTGGGTCAGTGCAGTTTAAGAAGGTTCAGAGGCAGATGGAAATGATAACAGGTGCAGGGTCAAGTTTGGCAAGTTTTGAAGTTAGCTTCCACTGAACCTTAGCTGCGGTAGATGGCAGCTTGAAGGAGAATGTGGCTAGCCCAAATAGCTAGCCGAGACGAAAGGAAATAGAAAACTAATACGGGAATGTCTGGGATATTCTGTAGCACCACTAGTGTTTCTTGGCGATGGACTGGAGCTTCCTAGCTGCGCTCCCTCGCTCCGCTTTATCTCTCGCGATGAATGTGAGACAACGATATCCTCGAAAGGCACGAATGTTCCTTTCCCTCTCCTGTTTCTCATCTATCTATTTATCATTTTTGTATAACAAAGTGAAGAAACAGAAATATAGATAAATTTAAAATCTAGGATAATGACTAGCGCAAATGGATTTAGTGGAAACCATTCGGAGATTCGGGTCTTACGTAAGTCATGTACTTCTTCAGTGTGGGTGTTAGGCAGAAAAGATCAGAACTCCACCATTCTTTTAAATCATATATCATTTCATCTTTGACTAGCGATACCCAGACTTATTCTCTGAATCTTAGTCAAGAACTTTGCGCTATTAGTTTGATGCTGCAAGTTGAGATGTCCTTCTTTCCGGACGATTGAAAACCTCACGCACATGGTTGCGCAATCGCGCTGCTCGAAAGTTACAGAACCAACTGCGTAAAGTTATGGGTGCCAAATGAGAGGAGCGACTGTGAGGGCTCAGAAGAGATATTTTGTGATTTGCTGTCGGTAACAATATAGAAGCAAAGCAATTACTTCAATTTGATATTTACTTCGTACTTCTTGAGTACACCCTTTCCTTTTCATGTGAAATTATTACTGATATGGAGAATAAAACTAATAAAGAAAGTATGAAATCGTTGTTACGAATATGCCTCTAAGAAACGTCTCTACAAATATTATTAAAACTTCTCACTATGTGTCACGCAATTGGTCAAATAGTTTGGCGAATGGAGTCTTCATTGAAAATGATCACCCTTGATCAAAGGGTAATGTGTTTTAAGGCCATTATTTCTCATGTAAATTACGGAATTGATTATATCCGTAATAATTGAAGGGTTCCGTGTAGAAATGGGTATGCTCCAGCTTTTTTCAATTTCGAGAAAGAAACAAATAAAGCTTTCAAATAAATAAACGTTGTAGGAGCATGAAATATTTTCTTAAGGAGTACTGTATGCTTAGACGAAACCTTCTGCTTCATTCTACTGAAATCCAGTCGAATGTTTAAGAGTTATTTTTCAACAAAATGTCTTCGTATTGCACGAAAAAAAAATTGAAATCCAACACATTGATCACTTTCATATATATTTAAGAACATAATAAACTTAATTTTGCACGAAACAAACCTTCAATCAGCCAACTCGTGGTTCAGAGCGAAAGTCGCCTGCCTTTCACCAAAGAGATCCGAGTTCGTTTCCCGGACATTTCTCCCCAATTCTGACCGCTGGGTCGTGACGTAGGAGCGCGTGGGCGCATATGCTATCTGACGGCGCGCTTGACCACTGACTACTCTCACAGATACCCCAACATTAAAACCAATGTGGTCTCTAATGACTTCGATGTTAATGCGCTTTTCAATAAACAAAAGTTTCCTACACATTTTAGAATATAACAAACTTTGGTTTAAGATAATTTGATTAAAAAATGAATAGTGAAACAAGTATTATTCAGTGACTTACCATTTTTGTGTGCTTGAGTTGAATGAATGTGAAGAAATGCCTCTCTTTTGAAATAAATTGTATACAAAATTATAATGTGATCTACGCGTGTTTTTTTTTTTCAACACTAATATGAGATAACTTCCAGAATCAAATTGGAGAACTTTTTACCATAGGCAACACTTATTATCCAGACCAATTGATCACTTCTCACAACGATGTTAACTCCCTGTATTCGCTTAATGGCCTCACTTTCACTCTCAGGCGTTCTTCTCCTCCTTTTATGCGCGGCCAATAAACCGGCTTAGGTGGCTCAGAGCAGCAACGGATGTCACTGTAGTGCCTATAACTAGGAGGTCCCAAGGTCCGAGTCTCGACGGGGGCCGGATTTTTGACACTAGCTTGTTAGCTAGGTCGAATTCAGCCGCCGTCGGGAGGAGAATTCCAGCGTCCGGCTATTCTGATTGGTAATTTTTCGTGGATCCTCCGATCAACACCAGGCGAATAACAGACGAGTACCCTAACAAACTGGCCACGGACCGCGCGTGATCTCACCTTCCTCTTTCTTGTCTTATCCTCAGCCCTTACGGACACCCTTACACTTACTCGCACTACACTACTACACATGCCGGGAGACGTCGTGGGCTTAGCGCTTGTTCCGACCGGGGCGGTGCCCCGCTGGGGGGAGATAACTGATTGGGAAAACCCCGCTAGCTGTTGGTAGATCGGCGCTGGGCCTCACCATCCAGCTGTTGAAGATCACCGCCATCGCGCGAAGAAAACATGCACTGCATTTACGGGAATAATGACCTTAGCAGTCGACGCACCCAAAATCATTAATCAATCAACCATTGCGGCCGATAATACATTCTCAAAATGACGTTCATTTAGTGATATGTACAATTCAACTCCTCTAACATTTTTCTTCAACTTTGATGGTGGAAGTGGGAGTGAACTTCGTTACTGCATATCAGGAGGCAGAGGAAGTTCATCATGTGCCACTCGCTCTTGTTTGAATCCTGACATACACAGAGCTTTGTAGAATCACAGCTCTGTGATGCTGTTGAATAGCAGCTAAATTGATCTTCGAATCTCATATTTGACACGATACTTCGAAATATAATAATATGCACAATATCATAATTATTCCTTCAGGGTGGGACTTAGCGGGACTTCAGGATGGGACACGACCGATCATATGAGAAAATGCGCTGGGCGGAGCCCCGTATCACGCCTCTGCTTGTGACTCCATTTCTGTACCTGAGCAAACAAAAATCTTTCTTGGAAAAACGAGAACATTCTTTTAAGAAATAGTATGCACAATATCATTATTCCTTCAGCGTATATCGTAGCCCCGACGATTATCTTATTGTGAATGGTTGGCCGAAGCCCCCTATTAATCCGCTTCCGCTTTTAATTCCATTTCTTTTCCTGAGCAAACGAAACTATTACTTGCACAAATGATAACATACGTTTTGGAAATACTATGCACAATATTCTAATTGTTCCTTCAGCATATGAGTTTGCCCGACCGTTCGTATAAGTGAATGCATTGGCCGGAGCCCCTTATGAATACACGTTTCCAGGTGTGATTCCATATCTGAGCCCCGGCAAACGAAAATCTCTCTTGGGAAAAAGAGAACACACTTTTAAGAAATATTTTGCGTACATCGTAATAGTTCTTTCAGCATACTAGGTGTTAACCTGATCGGTCGTTTGGGCGAATGCGCTGGTTGGAGCCCCTTTTGAATATATTTTGGTTTATCTAATGAGAATAATATGAACAAAAAATTTAGTTTATTCAATGTGAGCATATGAGCCAAATTTATTATTATTTATTTATATTTATTAATTATGAGATATTAAGAAACAAATTATGTGCGAAATTCCGTAGAGAGTTTTTGAATGATGTAAGAGTTATAAAAAAAATTGATTTCGTTCAACATGTTAGTGTGGGTAGGCAAACAAAAATTGTGGCTAGGGATGACTGGGCAAACGATTGACTAATCATACACTAAGTTTCGTAAAAATACCTGAATTTGGCCAGCATGGAGGTGTCTCGAAATTTGCATTGCATATACCTTTTTTGGGTGGTGGGGGGCAAACGAAAATGTTTGATGGGCAAATCTGGGCAGACGTTGGGCAATGTACGAAGTTTGGTTAAAATTCCAGATTTTTCCCGGCTAGCGAGTTGGCCCGACCATTGTTTTCGCGTCTAACGTTTTTTCTGGAGTCGATAAACGAGAATTCTTGGTGGGCAAACGATGGGCAAACAATACTTAGTTTCGTCAAAACCTTAATTTTTTGATCAGCATGGAATTGTCTCGAAAATTTGTTTTACGTGTAACTTTTTTCTGTGGGTGAGCAAACGAACCTTTTTGGTGGGCAAATGATGGGCATAACGTTATACACAGTCCCTTGAAAATACGTGATGTTTTCCGGACAGCTTGGAATGCATTAAAATTTCATTTGCGATTAACGTTTTTTGCGTGTGTACGCAAACGAAAACACGTTTTGGTGTGCAAGCCTGGGAAAACGATGGGCAAACGATGAACGGAATATAGTTGAAATTCCAGATTTTTTCCGGCCAGCGTGAAGTTGGCCTGAAAATTTGTTTCGCGTCTAACTTTTTTCTGAAGACAGGCAAACGAAAACTTTTGGTGGGCAAGCCTGGGCAAACAATTTACCAAGTTTAGTTAAACTCCGATATTTTTCCGGCCACGTTCACGGAGATCTTCTAAATGAGTCTTTAAGAACGAAGCCGGAAGGTTAACTGTAAGGCGGAGCGGTAGCGTATCCGAGTAATTAACCTTCCGATTGAGTTCTTAAAGGCTAATAGAGGACGAGTTACATACAATGTTTTTTGTAATTTCTTATTTATCGTTTATTCAAAATAAATTTTTATCACTTTCAATAGATAAGAATTGTCATTACTCTTTATTTTATGTATCAAGGGTTGGTGGTACAAGATGTTTTGCTTGTTGTCATGCTTTTTCTGCTAATGCAAGCTAATTGAGAAAAATGTCCGGAAATTTCGAAGTATCAGAAAAGATATTTTGTATATGTATTTATATGTATGGGTATTGCTCGTTTGTTTTACATTTTAAAACTACATTTTAAAAATATATTTTAAAACCACAAAATTGAAGAGAGATTTTTCATTCTCAAATGTCTGTTGTACAAAATGAGCTCTTCAAAAAAGTCATGTACAATTTCTTGAAAAAAAAAAGTAGTTTTGCGCAATTTGTGCTTGAAATTAATGAAATATACACCAATGTCACACCAACCGTCTTTCACGGACCACCTTCCATTTACGGCAAAAATTGCGCTTTTAGGAAGAATTAATAATAAAATACGTGCCCATGTGGCAGCGTCCATCGCTGCATGCACTCTTTGTTGTCAGCGCTCATCGACTGAAATGTATGGACAGAAATGCGGTATAATATTATTACATAACCGTTACTGAGGGAGCGAGAAAGTATGTCCCGTTTTAGAACCACTAGGTTCAATTTCAATAAGTCTATTTGTATTCAACATTGTTTTTTGTTCAATAAATAAACATTACAATGCATTTTAAATTGCTTTTATTTTCATTTCTACCCCATCATCCCACATATGGACCCACTCAGTTGGACCAGCTAAAAAATTTCAACTATTTGACAAAAATAACTAATGAAACTCATTTTTGTGTATTGTTGAGAATATTTAGAAGTGGCAAATGTGGAAATAATTTTTTTTGTTAATTGCCAATAATTTGGGCTACAAACAGACTTTGTCCAACGGAATAACGTTGATCCGGAATGGTGCTCTCGAACAGCCCTAACACTCACAATACCCACAGCCGCGTTCCAATGGGGGAGGTCTGGGATCATCAACGAACCCTAACGAAGATTTTTTATTCTTTTTCCCTCTCTTTTTTTGCTTTGGTGAAGTGTTACTGATTCATTCTTATAGCTTTAATGCCTATGTTAACCCTAAGAAACAGTTCCGTCTTTCAATTCTTATCGAATGTTACCGAAACAATTGGTAACCATCGCCATTCGTTATTGCTTTGTGAAAACTGGCGTTATCTTGAAGTTAGCTCGACCACGAACACGTTGAATCCACATCGTGACATCAGTAACAGAAAAGAATTTTGCATTCGTAGAAACCAAGTGGTAGTTGAACTAGATCTTCAAACTAGTGGAGTACAACGCACACACTTTCTCGCATTATGTGTAAATTTGCAATTTTTGAAAAATTAGAGTTCAATGAAAATGAGACTCGAGCCATTTTCGTAAGTATCCCTTCTATCTCTAAAAAAATGAAAAAAATTTGGAGCGGTTTTTGAAGAAAGAACTGTTACTTTGTTAATTGTATTAATGTCTAAAACTGCGAAAACTGCTCATTTCTTCAAACACTTGTCCATGACCTTTTTTAAAGAGCTGTTTTTTACAAAATCTTGGCAAAAATATCTATTTTTAATTTTGCAGTTTTAAAATGTTAAGTTTTTGCAATTTTCGAAAATTCTGAGAGGTTTCCGAAAATGAGACTAGCACAATTTTTTACCGTTCCTTGACACATACGAGGAGAAAATTTAAAGAAAAAATTGGGGTGATTTCTAAGAAAAACATTTTTTTCCTTAGAAAAATTAAAATATCGTACATTTCGCTCAAAATTACTTGAAAATTGCTCATATTTTCGAAAAATTTAAACATGACCTTATTTGCATATCAAGTGAACTTTAGATAATTTCATTTTCTTAGAAAATCTAGAGTTAACTCTGACCAAAATTAGTAATCTATCTTTTATATCCATTGTTATAAGTGGAAATGTATAATATTCATTTTCTGAGCGAATCCCACGAAAAAGAGCAGTTTCTCAATTTACTGCATTCTTTTAATTTAGATATTACAGTGAATGTACCTACACGGTATACATTTAAATCACAAAAAGCAATAGATCAAATTATAATTAACAAAACCACCAGATATGAAGTAAATACTACTAATCTTGGTTACAGTGACCACGATTCCCAAATAATTACAGTTACTAATAACATAAATAATCACGCGTGTGTAGAACATTTGCTAAAGTTAACATAAAATGATTTACGGACTACTGGCTGAAGGAATCATGGGACACAGTTTACAACTCTATTGACACAAATGAAAAATAAAATCTACTTTTCTCAAAGCTTTCATTTCACTTTAACGCACGCTTTCATCTCAAAGGGAGAAAATAAAATATTTCAAGGAAAAATAATACTTAGTTCACCCAAGAAAGTTAGAACATCGTGTAAAAACAAACGTAGGCTTTACTTTAATTTAAAACATCATAACGTATCACACGATTTTCATGTCTATTTCTGAGAATACAAAAACTTTCAAGGAAAGCAATAGTTCAGGCAAAAATATTGAAAAATAGTCAGGATATTTTGAAGGCAAGTGAGAAAACTAAAGCAATGTGGAATATCGTAAAAAATACGACCACATCATCTTGATACTTAATAGAGAATGTTGTTTTAAAGGATAATGAAAGAGAAGCAGGTAATACGGAAAAAGTGGCAAATCTCTTCAATCAACACTTCACTAGAATTGCAGCAATGCTAGGGACTTAAACCGCAAAATGCAACATCATACCCTTCCCCAACAATTATTTGACCCGATGTTTATTTCCGAAAACTTCTAACAAAATCCTGATTATTTTTTTAAAATTTCTTTCAATTTTTTTCTGACTATATGTATGTATGTATGTATGTATGTATATATATATATATATATATATATATATATATATATATATATATATATTCATCTGGTTTAGATGAATTTACGGATGATTTATTGAAAACTTGTGTACCTGCCTTATACACCCGTTAACTCACATTTTCAATTCTTCTTAATGCACAAGAATACTTTCAAATATTTTCAAATCAGCAAACATTAAGCTACTTTCTAAAAAAGTGAGCAAAAATGAAATTCAAAATTACCGGCCAATTTCTCTTTTGTCAGGGGTCTCAGAAATATTAGAGAGGCTTTTCTATACGCGAATGGGAACTTTTCTCAGAAAAAATGAAGCCTGTTCATTCTTACAACACGGTTTTAGAAAATCAAAATCTATGGAAACTGCCATTTTTTCTTTTCTTAAAGTTGCTTCATCAATGGATAAACATGAAGCAACCATTGGAATATATTTAGATTTTTGAAAGCTTTTGACATTATTGACCATAACTTACTATCAAAATTATCAGCTTACAGAATTCGTGGTATCGCCCTAGATTGGATAATATCGTACTTTAAACATCGATTTCAAAGAGTAGAAATACCGTACTGGCACGAAATAACGTTATTTTCTTACCTTTCCAATTCTTTACCAATTGAATATGGAGTCCCACAAGGTTCGATCTTAGGTCCGATTTCAGAAGTTTCAAATTGGTTTTATAATAACAAATTAATAGTTAACGAAGAAAAAACAGTTTCAATGCATTGTTTTGCATTTCAAATAAGCTATCGCATGTTCCATTGAAAATGAACAATATGCAATTAGCTGATGTTAAGGTAACAAAATGTCCTAGGTCTCTCAATCAGTCAAACTCAAATGGACTGTGTGTGTGTGTGGTGTGTGTGGTGTGTACTTGGTGATAACATATTTTCAACGCAATACTGATTTTTATAATTACAACACACGTCGTAGATAATCACGTTCGTCAGGGTCCAATATAACAGGCTCACATATCAGAAATCCACATAGGTATGTAATCCACATGTAGCGTTACTTTTACAACGCATTGGCAGCTAACATTAAACAATTGAATTAGGTACACAAATTTAAGTTAAAAAGTAAAATAATTTTCCGCTGTCGACTGGTTCTAGCATACTGATCATCAACCGCACCAATTTATATATATATATATATATATATATATATATATATATATATATACCATATATACACCGTATATATTTATATATACCAAAACAGTGATATATAATGAATTAGTTTGCATTTGTAATTTTTTTTAAATGACTTAATATGCTTGTAACAAATAATGTACTTCAGCTTCCGGGTCAATGACCCCCCTCTCGATAAGGTTTTTGTCTTGTTTCTCTGAGCCATTGAGCAAATGCTGAGATCGCCCCTTGTTTTGCTTTCAATCGTAAATGTAGCTTCACTATGCGCCCGTTTTGTTGAAGTCTCTTTTGGTCTCCTTTTGCTTGAGTGGTAGGAGTGGATGTAAGGGTAAGTTTCTATTTTGTTAGCAATACAGAAAAATCAAACCTGCAGGGGAATTGTCTAGTATTTGTGCAACTAGTCCGAATAGTGCCTCACTTCACGCCTGCTGTAGATGGCGTATCAATCATTACCCCGTTTTCGCCTTTCAAGTTTGACGCCCCTGAGTCGTAGTCACTACCTGCATAGGGTGCTCTGTGCTCACCTGTTGCTTGCCTGATGCCACCTGTACGTGCGCGACCGGGTTTCCACGGCTCGCGGATGTAGGCAATCCAAACCAATCCAAACATTGTTTTGCAGGAGGCTAAAAGGAGATTTCCTGAAGTATTTTCACCGGTGGTGTGATTCTGCTCAATTGCGATGCAAAGATTTGTATCTCATCGGAAATTAAGTGATCCCAAAGATGAAAAAAGCAGTCGTGTACGATATTAAGCAGTGATAGAAATATTGTCTCGCGAAGAGTTTTATGAAGTGAGAAAGAATGTACTAGCGTTATTTTTTGTTTGTGCAGGACCCGTCGGTAGAAAGAAGAAAACAGAGTTGGACTTATGATGGTAAAAGTTTTGCGGCTGCATTTATTTTGGCTTGTTGTTTTCTTGTTTTCCTCAATGTCTATGCCTATAAACAATCTATAGCTAATGAATTAGAAAATCCCAATGTGACAGCGAAGGTACCCACCTACGCCTTGTTTGGAAAAAATGTAAGTATGCATTTTGGGAATGCTATTTTGTTTGTTTGCTCAACATGAAAGCGATACAATAATTTTTACCAATGTTCAAACAATTTTTTATTTGTTGCTTGTAAAATTAATTGCTTATGTTTGTTTCAGGTTGATTCAGGGTATTTGCGACATGTAATAGCTGTATTTGAACGATTGGGTTTCCAGCGTGTTGATGTCAGTTCAAATTGGGATGTTCTGTGGGCTCATGAATATCCCTTCCGAAATATGTACTCAGTTCTGAAGAATCTAAAGCCACATCAAAAGGTGAGCCACAATGATACATTTTGAATTTGAATCATTGAATTGTTTAGAAAAACAGGTAACATCATTTTTAAATTAGGTTAATCATTTCCCAGGATCAGGTTACATTACAAATAAACTTGAGCTATCAACATCAGAACTTCCTCATTTACCACGTGCTTTTCGTATGCCCCAGGACAAAGAGAAATTATTGGAGTATGTAAGTACAATTATGTGTCTTTTATTCCCAATTTTATAAATGTCAATCTGTCTTAATGCCTCTAAACCTTTTCAGGCAAAAGCTGATGAAGACTTAATGTTTGTACAAAAAGATAATAATCACAGAGGAATTACTATTAAACACATAAATGAACTTAATTTATCTGCAAATAATACATTCATTCAGGAGTACGTGAGCAAACCCTTTTTAATTGATGGATATAAATTTGACATTGGTGTCTATACCATCCTGACATCTATAAATCCGTTAAGAGTTTACATATATGATGGGGATATATTGTTCAGGTATGTTTCATCATTTTCTTTCTATGCTGTACCTCTTTCCCAGTTGTTTTATTCATTACATTTCTACAATGTACAATGTAGTTATTATTATTAATATGTACAAAGTAGTTAATATGTACAAAGTATTATTCCCATTCTGCATTTTTTTCTAGAATATATTGTTGTAGATATACCTGTGTGTATGTAGATGAGGAAATGTCCTAAATAATGAGCAAAACATTAACACAAAATGAAAGTTTTTTGTTAGATGTTTTTAAGGTGATGAATACAATGATATAGTTTAATTTTCTTACAGGTTTTGCCCTGTGAAGTATTATCCTTTTGATCCACAAATATTGGACAAATATGTTGTTGGAGATGATTACCTGCCTATATGGAAAGTTCCTTCCCTGAAGAAGTATTATGTAGATAAAGGATTTTCCATGAAAGATACTTTCAATGCTTTTGTTGAAAGTCAAGGTGTGCATTAAAGTACATTACAATTATATTATGTTAATCAAAAATGAACAGTTCAAATTTGATGATAATTCAATGCAAACCTGCCAGAAAAGATTGATGTTATTACTAGGGGGCGTATTTTGGTGACTTAAAACATCACCAAAAATATCAATAAAATGCTCTTGAAAGGTTTTTAAAATGTTTTAAAATCTGTGCTTTAAAAGCAAAGCAAAATGACCTAAAAAAATTTATCAAAACCAGTTCAGATGAACAACTCACTGTTGGATATGTTACTGATGTAATCAAGGCTTTTTCCCAACTTACAAACTTTTGGTTTGGTCAATTCTTTACCAGGAAGACTCTGTTTTAACTTATCCTGAAACCAGCCAAACTGACAACTGTGCTGGTAGGTGTTACAGGAACCTTGGCTTACATACAAGGGTTGACATTACAATTTCTGGGTGCAGAAATCAAAAAGGCTACCGAGTAATTCTGTGCAGAAAATGCATTGTTGAGTCCTGTAAATATTATTTGTAGCAAGTACCATTAAAATGATATTAAAATTCATTAAATCACTGAAATGTGCTTTAAAAAGATTAACTGGGAAAGGTAAACAATGACTTATTAGTAGAAATCGACAAAAAATTCCATATGAAAATGGGTCATTTGCATTTGTCATAACATAAAATTAATGTCTACACTAAAAGGCTTTATCCTAAAGGGAGAAGATAAAAAATGACATTCCATTAAAATTTGGCACCTAGTTATTACATTTTGTATGTGGACATAAGATATTTAGCAAAATTCCTGTTTGTATGTTGAGGCTCAAAACTACACATATAAACTACACATTTCATGATTTTATAATATTGTAGGAACAACTTTGAGTGCCAAATATGGCTATTTAAGAGTTAGAGTAAAAATGCCTTTTAAACCATTAATGATCTATTTTTTTTAATTTTTAAGAACTACATTATTTTCTTATAAGCTTGTTTTATAGTTAAGTAATCTTAAGAAGAGTGAATTCTGTCTTGGAACATCATTGTAAGCAATTTCAGGGCTTTTCTTCACAAGGGATTGTCTTCAAAATCATGATCAAGAGTACTTAACTAGAATACTTTTTCTTATAAATGCTGTTGAGTTAGTGATTTATGTTAAATTTGATCTGACACATCTCAAAATTTCATGAACTATATGACCATTTAACATCTTGGAGAATTTTCTTTAATTTGCTCTGCATTAAAAATTATTAGTGGAAAATCCTCAGGATGTCACAGTTAATTCTCAGGATTGTAATCATATATATAATCAGGATTGTTATTAGTTTATGTAAAACTGGAGTTCATCAAATTTGTAAAGATTTGGGCACCTAAACTTGCAGTGAATAATTAGGCAAAGGTACCGTAGCAGTTTCAGTACTGACATAGGGTAATTACCTTTAATATGATGAATATAACAATAACAAATAGGTTATTGGATTACATTTTTGCATTACATTTTTAAATTATACAGTTTCAATATTATCATATCAAATGTGTGTTAATCAAATTTTGAAAACACCACAGATGTCTCCCTGCTAGCCATGAATGTTCAGCAGTACTAGTAGATAAGACAGACCTCTTAATGTGCAGGAAATTCTCAAAATTAAATTCTACTGTTCCAATAGTTACTGAATTTACCAGTGTATTAATAATGTTCATAGTAGTATGTGTTACATAATCCCTCAGGAAAGGATCCCAGTACCATTTGGACTCAGGTAAACGAAGCTATACGCAACATCTATCTGCAAAAGGAATCAAAAATACGGCAGTCTACTTTACACTACCAATCATCAACAAATTTCTTCGAAATGGTTAGAATAGACTTTGTGATTGATGAAGATATGAATGTTTTCCTTATGGAGGTAATTATAAAATTGATGGCATATTTAATATACAAGTCTAGGGGGAATTCCGTTTTCAAAAGCTCTATTTGCATCGCAAAACTGTTTTTTCTATTAAAAAAAGTATACCCCATAATAATCTTTATGCTTTTGAATCTTTCTGAATAAATTTCTAGTTAATTGATGTGTGTAGGTTCACAACGCTGAAATAGTTGTGTAAACTGCAGATTAACATTATGCATTTTGAATTTGTATTATATTTTGCGACCTGCTTCATGACTTACCCTTTTTCTGGTTGTGGCAGAAATTACTATTTTTACTAACAGAACTTCCATTGATTGTGTAGTTCCCCTATAAAACTAAATCATCTCAAATTTTCTGTTTGCTTGATTAAATCTCCTCTACGGTGCTAATATCTTTCATCAAGAGCATGGTCTGGATGCCCAATATAATGTTACATTAGTTTTTCACTGACATTTTTTGCACTTATTTGTCAAATCATTTAAAGTTCTACCTATAGATTAAATAGTTTATAATGAACATTTAGTGGAGGAAGCCACATTTAACTACTAGAAGCAAGGTTAGAAACTATCAGCATTTGCTTTAAAACCTAAGCCAAACTGAATTCAAAAACCTGATGGGGAATGTAGGTCATGTGAAGTGAGTTTGAGAATTGATGAACACTTTGACATTAAAATCTTGACTTCTCTCATCCATTTGTGAAAAATTTGCACTTAAACTTGTTAAGCATACATTTGGAGAATCTACTGAAATTGAACTAAATGTGTACTTTAATGGAGTGTTTGTTTTCAAGAACATTTCCTAATTTACTGATTCTCTTGAAATAATATTCAAATAAACTTAATTTACATCCATATGATGGGAAAGATATTTTAGCAAATAAGGCTTTAATGAAATTCAATTTCCGCTGGATGGTGAGATCCAGCATTGACCTACACTTTAGCTTACAGGGGTTCCCTCCTCCAGATATCTACCCTCCCCAGTGGGATACTGCTTCAGCTGGGACAAGCTGTAAGCTCCCGACTGATCTCTTGTATTGAGTGGTACTGCTATGCATGCAAGTTCAAGTATATGTGAATAAGGGGAGAAGATAAAAAAAATAAGAAATAAGGAAAAGAAAGAAAGATTATATTTGGTCCGTTTGTTAGGGTATCACTCCAGCAATTGCCTGGTATTGATCGGAGAATACATAGAAAACTACTAATCAGTACAGCTGGTTGCTAGGATTCTCCTTTAGACATCACCTGAATTTGACCTAGCTTTAGAGCTAGTGTTGAAAATCCACCTCCATCAGGACTCCAACCCCAGGGATTGATGATCAGTCACTGCAGAGGCATGGCATAGCATGGCATGGTGACTGTGAGCAAAGTTGATAATAGAATATAAGATTCTGCATGTCTCGCATGTACCGTGAGTAAGAGTTTTACTGGAAAGGGCAAAAACTCCCAAAATTTGATAAAATCCAAAAAGATCTTGGTTATAAATTGTGATGCGAGGAAGATATTCTGAGGCCTTTTGTCTTGAAAACTAAATTTTAAAGCTCTAGAATGGACACTGTTCTAGTTGTATTGATGTTAGGTTTTGTTTCTAGTTGTATTATGTCAAGAAATGGTCAGTTTAGCTTCTGTTTCTGGTCAGGTTAGCTGTATGTTTCAGAATTACATTTTTATCAACCTAATTTAGACCTCCTTCCCCCTAAACAAATCTTAATACTGTTTTTTATTCTTATTATTATTAATTTTATTTTATGTATAAACTGTTAAATACAGTGTGTGACATGCGGTGAGGAGAAGTGTATTCTGTGCAGGTTTTATTTGGGTTCCCTAAACCATACACAAGTTGAATTCTGAATACAAAAAGTAATGAGCGTGTTGTAACTGTGTGTTGTAAACTGTGTCACCTGTGTGGAAAATTAGCTTCCTTTTTGATACTTCATTTGTTAAGATTGGTGACACATGCCAAACATACCTACACTGCAGAAATAATGTAGGTTATCAGTTATTCATTGTCTTATTTTATTTGTTACATTCAAATACAACACATTTATCATTTTATAGGTGTAAAGTTTGAATGCCTTTAAAAAAATGTGAAAGTGCATGATACAATTCTGGGCAATACATTTTAATGTGCATTTGTGAAAACAAGTGTAGTGATATAATAAACAACTACAAATTACTGTAATAAAAATAATTAGGGAAGAAGTAGTAATTAATACTACTGAGCATCAAAAATATCCCTGAAGTAAAACTCCTATATTTGCCATGCCCTAACCCTCATAGTAAATTGATCACAATATTTCAATTATCTCATCTTTTTTTAAATTAAGAAACGGTTTGGTGGTGGATGCATTTTGCCAGAGTGTCGGTGAATATTGTAATTGCATAATTATCTTAATGTACATGTGTACTAGGGAAGTGAACTGAAATTTGCACTTTTTCATATCACATAAGTAGTCACGTGAGTTTTTTTTTAATGCACATGCTTCTTGAATGGTAATAGAAAATATTTCATATAATTATATATAAATGAATCACAATAATCATTTTATTTTAATTTTGTAAAAGTGTCCTCCTTGGAAATTTCAGTACTTTACACTACAGTAGTTTTACATTTGTAGTTTTAATCGTCTGTCATTGTCTTGGGTTTGATCTCTTCAATTCTTTCAATGCTGATTATTTATTAGTTTTTTATAGTCAGCATTATGTTAATAATATTCTCATTTGGTTGTCTGATCTGATTTCAAGTTGTCGTTAAATAGTCGAGAAAATTCAATGTATAGTCAAAAAGAGAAACTTCGTTTACCAGCATTCTTCTAATAAAACTCTGCTAACAGTACACACATAATTCTTAAATTATTATTAAATTAAGTACGTAATATATTTGTTACTTCTGTTTAGAATTTTTCTGATTCATTTATTTAATTTCTTAAAATTTTTATATATGATATCACTATTCTAAAAATTAATAGAAATTTTCTTTCAATTATTTGTGACTTATCAAAAAAGAAAATGCTGATTAAATACAGCTTTTATTGGGCAAATATACCCATAAACTTTTTTTTTTTTTTTTTAAGGTCGCATCAACTACTAGGTCATTAGCGACCACTAATTGCTTGTACCCGCCTAATGCTTGGACTCGAACCCGCGATCCTTTGGTCCGAGTTCGCTACAGCACTACTGCCTTAGCGGTCTCGGCCACCGGATCGGCCCATAAACATTGCTTATTGTTGTTGACAAATATAATAGAGAATTATTTGCAACAACCTTAATTTTTATTTCACTTTTGTGATATTTGGAATCTTAAATTTCTTATTACTTTTCCTAATTTAATCTGCATGACACTATAGTTTTCAGGTGTTAAAATATTAAAATTAAAATACATTTTGTGATATTTAATTACCAACTCTGTTATTTTATTTTTCACCATATATCTGGATTATTTTAGTATATGATACATTGTCATTCAGTTATAATAATTCTTAAATTATTATTAAATTAGGTATGTAATATAATTGTTATTTCTGTTTAGAATTTTTCTGATTCGTTCATTTAATTTCTTAAAATTTTTATGTATGATATCACTATTCTAAATTCTCTCTCCTACTATTTTGACAGGCAAATATGTCTCCTAATCTTTCTTCAGCTCATTACCCACCAAATCAATTACTTTACGAGCAAGTAATTTTCAATACACTTGCCTTAGTGGGTGTTGCTCAAAGAATCAAATCTTCAGACCTTCAGATTAGGTAAGTAATTATTGTAATCGGTTGGTTATTATGAGTCTGTCTCTATTTTTTTGTTTTTTATTTACATTATTATTTTTTTACCTCACAATATTTTAGACAGGCATTCAAATTATTATATTGCATATCCACACTTCAAATTTAAGTTCCCCTCATACACATTAAGTGAAATTTTTTGATATATTACAGTTTATACCTGATGATAGAGCCACAAAGCACAAAGTACTGACACATAAATTTTAACTGAAGATTTGTAGTTGTTAGCCTTGTAATATAATAATTTAAATGTCTATCTAAAATATTATTCTAATAGATATACATTTAGAACTTTTATGGCACTATTTCTGTCATTAAATTTTTTTTGATATGTGAAGGTCTGTTGCTGAAGAAGATATGATGGTAGCACTCAAGAATATTGTGGTGTTCCCTCACCTTTGCAGTAGTCATCTGTGTCAGACTTGTGAAAATGCATTATGCGATGTTTGTAAACACTGCTTAACAATTGATGTATTAAACCAATTGAAAAATGCATACAAGGAACATGTAAATCGTCTTGATTGTAGAAGGGTATTTCCCCCAGCAATGGTAAGAACATTATGTGTATTCATTTACACCTTTTTTAATGAGTGATTATTTCTCAATTAAGTATAATATTGCAGTGTTTCATGCAACTGCCTCCTTAGGGTGGGGTACAACTCCCCTTAGTGATGTGATCAATCACACTCCTGTTCACGGAGAGTGTCATAAATACATCACCCATTGCAACACGTTTCATATTACATACATAGAATGTGTGCTGTAAACCAAAAAGGACTCTGATGAATTGTCAGTGGTGTATTGTAACATCAGGGACCTGATAATCTTACAGAGTAAAATTATTTTTTGCAATGTCATCACATCTGCAACTGTGTTGTTAAACTAAGATTCCAAAGATCTTGGTCTACCACCCTCGGCACATTGCAAGTCTGATGGAGGGATAGCTATGACAAAAACAAAAATTTTTGAAGTGGTGTCCTTATGTGCATACCTATGATAAATTAAGGTTTTTTATTTTTAATTTAAGGCTAAGGAAAATGAACTGCTATTATTGTGGTAGTAGAATGATGTACAGTCCACTTCGAAAAATAGAGTAATCTAGTCATAGTTAATGAAGTTATGTAAATGTTTTATTTTATTTATTTGTTTTGCTAATGATTTCTGAAGATAATGAAAAAATAACTTGTCTGATAAAAAAAAAAAATTTTTGTTGATATTGTAAGGTCAAGAAACTATAAATGAAGACTTAAAGAAGTTTTAAGTGAAAAAACATGTTCAGTAAAAACTTGATGCTTGTATATTTTCTTTACAAAAGTTTTAAATTAACATCTTTTTCAATTCATCTTTTCCTCAGACACCCCCGCTGCCAAACATCACATCATATGGGAATGCTTATTCTCCTGAAAATCAACGAGTTGCCAGATGGTTCCTTGGTAAATGTCACGTAGATCAAAGCTGGTGTTCCTAGATCATGTTACTCTGTGATTCAAGATTTATCAAGTTGCTAATTGATGCATTTTTACCTGAATTTATGTACCTACAAGATTTTCTGTCTATGGTCATCTCAAAATGGTAAGATTGATCTATTTAAAAGTTTGTTAGCTTTCAATTAAGCATAGTAATTTTGATCTGCATAATAAGCTTGCTCTGCTTCTTCTGATACAGTCTCTCCAGAAACTTCTTCTCCTAATGCTTCTTCACCATATTCATCTTTCGTTTGAAATTCAAATGGATCTACCATATCTGGCACATCTGTAATTATTTCTTCAACCAACTGAAGGGCTATTTTTTCCTCGTCTAGTCGCTTCTTCTCCTGGATAAAAGAAGTTCAGGAAAAAATTTGATGATACATAATTTTGTTTCCAAATTATTACAAATTTTAACTTTTACCAAACTGTATACTGTCACTTCAAATAGTTACTTAAATGTTGTTTTACAATTGTTATTTAATATGTATAGTAGGCTCAGATAAAGGAACAGAATGTCTGAAAAATTGTTTTCTTTTAACATCATTTGTGCAATAGCATAACCTCTATGTGGAACATCATGATAATTCCATGTTATTCCAATGAGAACTTTCAAGTCTGGTCATCATTTCACCAAAATGTGATGTGTTTGACAGAATTTCTAACAAAATAAGTAATAGTGACTGACAAAACTTGGTCTTACATCATTAGAAAAAGAGGTCTCAAATTTCATTAATTTCATCTTATTTACTTCAAAAATGAAAATTACATTGATCACAAGTACTTTTTGCTAATTAAAACATTGTATAGTGGTGTTCATAATTTTATTGTACACACAAAAATAAATAATTCAAAAGTTTCATGAAGCAATAGTTAAAAGGCCGTGTTTTGTAAAGTAATTTATGTTGATTCATATGCTAAAAATTGAAATTATTACAGTACTTCACTCTTTCAAAATATTGTATATTTATAATTTGCCATTTAAACTTGGTTTGGTACAAGTATGTAATATATTTGTCATCTACCTTTTGCAATGCACAACTTACAAATGCTATTGAAATTATGAAATTCAATACTACTTTACAAAATTTGTACATTGATTTTTATCAGCATTTCTTTAAAATTATATAAGCATTATTGATAATACGTAGGTCTATATTTTGTATTCGTGTTGGTGTTGTTTGTTTTGTTATTGAACATTTTCACTGACTTTATAATTTACAAATCAGGTATTTATGGATAAATGTAAAAACAATGGTTAGCTGAAATCATCTTTTGAATATATTTGAAAATTTCATGGCATTGAAAATTCCAAATGCCTACTAAAATCTTAACCCTTTGACTAAAACAAGAAAACTGTGCAAGTGTCTCCTACACAAATGAAGTTTGTCTGCCCCAGAGGGATGTACATTTTTAAGGGCATTTAGTATGTGAGACTGGTGCTGATGTACTCAGTCTAGCAGCACTCTGTTGCCGCCGACAACGTTCTGCCACATGTACGCAAGCCTAAAAATGAATGAAGAACAAACCTTGAGGTTTTAAGCAAAATACACAGGTCTGGTGGAGTAGGAATTATCAAACTATTGTAGTTAAGCAATTTCGCAAAATCATTACACAAAAGACATGGCATATTTAAAGAGTTATTTTAATCTGTTTATTACTTTGAAAACTGCAACATTATCATTTTGAACTGCATAAAAGCTCCTCCCCAAATTAAAGGCATTTGCTCAATTGATCAAAGGAAGTAGGATAAACATTTAAGGTAAGATCATCTAACACAAAAGTTCAGAAAAGAATAAAATGATTACTAGTTCAAAATGACAGAAGAAAACTTTTCAGAAAAAATTATTTTTGCTATTGAGAAGAGATTTCTTGACATCAAGGCAGAAATTACATCATTGTATTGACAAAATTCACTTCATTAAAATATTAATGTTATATTGATGAAGTATTTGTTTTTCATTTTTAACAGAGTACATTTTAAGCTGGCATTTTCTATTGTTAAGTTGTAAGTGGGAATCTCCTATTTAAATAAATAAGGAAAATTGCTATAATATTCTAATGCTGTAGATGTATTCAAAAGGTCATTTATAAATCAGTGACTTTCATTCACTTAAAATGGTTTTTAAAAGTCCAACCTATTCATAATTGGAAATGATACTATTATTTTCTAATGAATGTGCTGTATTTCATTCAATATGTTGATATGAGAGGTCCTTGATTTGTTACTTTTTAGTACACTTCTCTTCCAAAGGTGCTACAGCCCTTTTAGATCCTATCTGTGCTGCTGTTTGTTGTCTGTAGCAAAAAAATTCATGTCTCGAAGATATGTCACAGAATTTGTGCTCATGAATTCATTGACCACAATGGCTATTTATCACAATGACTACACAAATACACTAAGCATGTGCCTCTCTTCAAACAAATTTCCATTTATTTACAATCATTTGTAAGAAAGTTTCCCTCCTCTTCATTTGTGTAAGCAAAACATCATTTTTTTAAAAATATATTTTGGGAAACAAATAAAACCATGTATTTCAGATTTTTTGAAGTATTTAAAAAAATTTGTAATGCTACTTAAAAGTTTTTGCATTGATAAAACAGTTTACCTTTATGATAATTTAACTTTAACAAAAATCATAAGTTTTACTTTTGACTTACTGATGATTCTGAAAGCTTAAAAGATGTACACAGCTGTATCTCTGGCTTGCAAACAAAATGGGACATTGGCCCAAATTTTTTTGTTTAGGTTGAAAATATGAAAAATTGTGACATTACCAAAAAGTTAAATGCAAATTTGAACATTTCAAATGCCAATCTTTCCTCTCAATTAAGTCTCTTTAATTTAACTTTGTTATAAAATAATTCAAGAAACTTGCACCATACTAAATTTCAGAGGCAGTATTTCTTGAATCACCTACATTTTGTGTGTTCTTAACAACTTTAACTAGTAAGAAGTTACAAAACAAAAGTTTTCTTCATGTGAAAATATTCCATAAGGATGATATAACACAATATTTGTACTTTCAAACTGTCAGCAATATATTCAGTCTTACTCTAGAAAATTGTATGGCATAAAATGCACTTACCTTTTCTGCTGCAATAATTTGTTCTCTCTCTTGTATTAATTCAGTAACCTTTTCTTTTTCAACTGCCCTAGCTTCCTGATTATAATGCCATTTAAAAAGCCAATGGCCAAGATAATGGATTGGGTCAGTTGGCTTCTTTGCTACAATTTCTGCTAATGCAAGAGTAAGTGGTATACCCAAGTGAGTCTTCAAGTATTCACTATCAAACGATTCAAACATAAGCTCCTCTTCACTGGCCTCTTCTTCATCTTCTACTTTGTCTTTGGTGTCTATAGAACAAGTATCCACTACTCCTTGGAAGAAGGACAACCGACTTCCCCCTTTAGGTTCAACGGACAATCCTAGAAACCCAGTCAGGCTATCATCTTGTAGACCATCAGGAACAGGAACATTTGGAGGTCGCATGCCAGTGCCAGGAACTAGGGTTCCAGATGGAGAAACTCCCCATTGCCCAGGTTTAACAAAATATTTGTCACAAATCCTTAGATCTGGAGGCATTTTTGGTTCCACATACTGTGGTGTTGGAAAGGGTGGTTTTTTAGGGGCTTCTTCTTCTTCTTCTGCCTCCTCTTCTTCTTCTTCTTCACCACCTTCATCATCACCCCCAGATCCAAAAAAGAATGCTCCAAAGTTCGGAGGTGCATCTGAATACTGTTCAGGAGCCACACCTGCTCCTGGTACCGCATAATCTACGCCATACTGTCCTTGGTCTCCAACTTCCTGAGGTGCATATTGCTGAGGAGGCATACCCATGTCAGGAGACATATATTGTTGGTCTGGAGTCATATATTGCTGATCCGGAAGCAAAGGCTGTTGGTAGTCACCTTCTGCAGGCATATACTGTTGAACTTCAGATGCACCCATTTCTGGAGGCATGTACTGTTGATCAACTGGTGGTGGATATGAAGCAACCTCTTCAGTTGGTTGTAGATTGTCTACCTCATCTGCCATTATTTCAATTGATTAATATTGAGACAAAGATAAAACAGTGGAACTCTGAATTGTGAAGAAGCTCAGCAACATTCCAAAATATCATGAGATTAACAATACCTTCAACAGTCAATTATTTAATAATTGAATATTTCACTGCCTATTATATCAACATGTAATTAATTCAAAGCCCCTTAATTTTCTGACAAACCAAAATCGTCATAACAAATCATCAAATGTGGAATACCTGATAGGGATAGGTGGAATAACAGCAATAAAACAAGCAAGAAACACACATAAACTTTTTATTACAAAAATATAACAGGAATATAAAATATTGAATGACTGACTTTTCAGAATTCATTTCTCAGTCTTAAAAATTGTAAGTTCATTTTCTACTAAGATAAAAGCAAGTTGACAAAGAAATTAGGCCAACACCAGGAGGCAATATCTTAAGAAAATAACATTAGAATTTAAATAAAACAGTGATAAGAATTCCAATTGAAGAAACCTGACTTACTGTACCACATGACTCATAAGTAAGTTTTAAATTTCATTATTGTATCATGGTTGATAAAATAATAATTAACATTGAAGCCTAGAAAGTTGTTCTGAAATTAAATTTTGATTTCAATTAATATGTGATCACTTCATTATATCAAATATCTTATGGTACTTAAAACTGCCATTAGATATAGTATAAACTTTCCAGGGACGGATTTAGGTACTGTGTAACCTCCATGCACAAAATTGCCTTAGGGTCGTATTTCAGAAAAAATTCTTCCAGATTTATTAAAAAAAAAAGCCAGTTATAATATTTGCTATTTGATAATTATTTCACAAGACATGTGACTGTCCATGGATAGAAAGTCAATAAGCAACTGCTTATGTTGTTTATAGGAACATACAGCCCTTCAACGTACAATTCATAAATTTCCTTCTTTACTTCAATGTCAGTTATTACACTGTGGGAACGTCAAGCTCACAAATTCATTTAGTGTATGGAATTCAGACTTGCATTTTGAAATTGTTATTCACTCTTAAATAATTAAAATAAAGACAGTTTTTACATACCTAAAAATAGTATTTTCACAATGAATTAATATGTTATGTAGAACAATAAATCGCTTTTTGTCTCCAGAAGAACTACTCTTTTGGATATTTGAGGTACTGTTTTTAAAACTTTGATACATTGTATACAGGAAAGAAGTAGCTCTAAGAAATAGATTGAAAGAAGAGCAACCAATTTGTGAAATATTTTGCGGAATTTAATTGATAGGAAATATTCATTTAGATATAAAGAAAATAAATGTTGCAATGAAAAGGAACATGAAACTTCCATGCTGTAATTAAGATGGCTAAATCTCAATAATTAAGAATAGGGCTTAAGATAAAACAATAGTGACACATGTACAAAGCAAATTTCACAAAATCTACACTTCAATAATTCATATTTTTTCCAAACATTGTCAAAACACACACAATTTGGAACTTTTGAACACAAAAATCACGTTATGTAAATGAGATATATTGTTCCTGCAGCTGCCTCTCCAAAAATAGAAAAGAAGATTTTTAACAATACATTTAAATTATGGATTAATAATTCAATCCACCCCAAACATCTCAGACTTTTTGACAGTGAAATTTGTTTTTCGACTCCTCTTTTACGCAAAATTTTGCCAAACTTTGTATTCAATATATTTGACGTAAATTCTTTTTTATGTTAAAAAAAGTACGGTATCACCAAATTCACAAGTTACTTATACCACTAGTGTTCTTTTGTGACTTATCTCCAAGAATGAAATATACCACTAGTAAGGAGGAAGGAAAGCAGCAAGAAATTCAAACTATCATTCCTTTGTGAAGATATTAAATTGATGCCTTATTTTACATGGCGAGACTCAGGCCATCAGGCCCACTCTTCCATCTGACCACACAAAGTTTGCTACGTGCGTTTCACCCACTAGAGGTTGTATTTCTTGGGTGATGAAACAGGCGATTTGAATTTAGCTCAGAGGCTTCATCTTTTACATGCAGTAAATCAACTAATATAGAAGAGTTGGCTTTACTTCCCCTCCAAAGGAAGGCATAAGAAGGATTTTCTCACCATTAAAAATTTTTCCGAAACGATTGGATTTGAGCCAGCGAACTTGGGTATAACGGTCCAATACGCTAACTGTGACACCATTGCTGCCGCCAAAGATATAGCCTGCTTGTGACTATGATAGAGTTAAAAAGGTTTGGTTTTATAGAACATTACAAATTTCATTTCACACAAAAATGTCTAGAGCTTAATATACCATTATAAACGAGTCTATATAACAATATTTTAATTCTAGCCTTAAAAATGTATACCATTATCCTGAACATACATTGTGATATAACGAGTTGTATTTAACAAAACAATTGCAAATTAGAAAATTACTTTCAAAATTACTTCATGGCTATTCTTCGAAATGTCAAAGAGGTAGAACTGCAATGAAACAAAAATTACTTTCTATTTTTCATTTTACTTTCCTGCAGTCTCCATGAATTGCATTGCCATGTATAAAATTTACTCACACTTAAAACCACTAATTTAATAAATTCAAGAATATTGCAAAAAATTATAAAACAAACTAATAAACAATACAATATTTCACAGCACAAATATAACTTGTTGATGAAACCTTGAAACACAGTTTTATTATAGCAATTTGAACAGTGTATTATTTACAGGGAAAGAAAATCATATTTTCTCTGTTATGTAATATTTCTTAATTATGTAATAATTAGCTCTCTACTAAATACCGGCTCTTCACAAAACAATGACTTTTAATCTTCTAATACCTTTCTTGATATAGGGCTACGATAAAAGTCATTCTTACCCCTGATTTCATAACAAATACTGAAGAGAAGTAGTATTTTTCAGTAGAATGCAAATTATATTCTTAAAGCTATACAAAAGGGTTAAAAACAATAAGAATACTTTCTCCAAAACCATTTTATATGAATTATGAACTTATTGTTCCAGTTTAATAATTCAATAATGTTCCCTTGAAAATGATTAAAAGTGGATTCTCTAATTCAATAAACAAAGCCTGCAGAGACTTAAAAATTATTTCTATCATGCTCTTCACATTGCTAGTCTGGTTAGCACCCAAATTCACAACCCATGGTCAATATTTGGCTCCAAATATGATGGTGGCACAAAAATGATTAGATTAATTTTTATCAGAATTCAGATTTGCATGCTCTAATTTTATTTACCTTACATCAGAAATTCAAAAAGAAGAAACAAGCACAAAACACAAATGAGCAACAGATAAATTCAGAAAAGGTGAAACAATAATGTCAAAAATTCAAAAGAAATTAAGGCATTGAAACATTAGGCAAAAGATATTAAAAAGCACTTAAGATAATTAAAATGTCAGTTTTTAGAATTGAATTAACTATTTGAAACAATCATCAACTGGACTTCTTTTTTAAAGCCATATAAAGTCCTATTACTGAAGATACAGTACCCACAGCCCCAACTTGCCATTTCAACAGTTTTCCTCCCCATAAATAGCCTTCTGGAAGACAGTTGACAGCATGCACCAAGTCCAAGCTACACTTGAAAGTAGATAACAAGTAATTCTGCTGCTGAATCAGAAGTTGTGGCATGGCTGTGCTGTTAATTTAAAGGTAGTGTGAAATTTGGCAAACTCACTCTCAAATTCAATTTAGGTATCCCACAAATTAAAGAAAATATTGCTAATTACCTCCCATTGCAATCCACTCCTTTCAGACATTTCTTATGATATTGCAGAACCATTAAGCATCTAATATTTCTGGAAACATCAATTAAATTAGTCAAAACATAATATGATAATATTAACAATAAATTAATTGACATACCTCATTAAAGACAAATATATAGATATAACCCAAAATACAGTGCTACTGGTAGACCAAGGATTACTCTTCACAGACATAAAATCATTCTCAATAGCCCAGGCAACATGTTCTATGGGAAAATAGGCCTGGTCAATTACATTTGAAGTAAGATCCAAGAACCTCAAGACATTATCTTTTTCCTGCAAGATGAACATATGTTATTCTGAATATTAAAATTCAAAATGTAGCCTGACATATCAGTCTACTAGAAACAAACCTTTCTTCCTAAACCGTAAGTTAGGGTACAATTTAACATAGGAATGTCATCGAACAATCTTAATAGGGCCCTACAAGCACTCAACTGACTACTGAATTTATCCAATTTCTGAGCTCTAACAGGTGAAGATGACACACCAGCTCCCAACTTTGCACTATAACATAATAATCTAATAACTTTGTCTCTTCCACTATATGTTTCTAAAAATTTGGCGAATTCTGCAATATTCATCATGAATTGTTCTCTCAGAATATCAATAAGAACACACGATGTGACTTTCACCGCCACACAGCGCCGCGTACCAAAGACATGCTTGGAAGGTCACAAGTCGGAAGTTTGAGTATAAAGTGCACAACACCGCCGGTCCCGTTAGCATCTCTACACCTGGTTTTATTTTTCCAAGGTAAATGCCGAGTCCAAGGCCATTCCACCTCTTCGCAGGAGCACAATTCAAGAGCAATTTATCAGATCACGCAATGTTACCACAACGGAACGATTGCTGCCAACGCAGATGATGTTGTATCTTCATTTTATAGTATTTTTTTCTTGCGATTTCAATTTTACATTACTCACTTAACATTAACGATAAAATATGTCGAGTAAAGATAGGGAAAGTTAGTGCTAAATAATACATCATAATTCACTTGAGTGTTGCTGCACCTGCAACATTAGACGATTGTCCTTTGTAACTGTCCCGTAAAAGAACGCGGTAAATTTGATGGAACGTACACTACTAATCTTTCACTTAAAGGTCATGAAATATAAATTATTTTGTTGCAATAATTTATGATATTCAATTTTCATTTGAGTAAGTATTAATTTTGTTTCGCTAAAAATTCAAGGTTAAGTCACTATTCAAGGAGAGCTTCAATCAAATATTTTGTAATTAGCCATCATACAATTATTTATTTAATCGTGATAAATGCAAGTTTTTTTACGTTTTTCCGGCTATTTAAAAAATATTAAATTTCCATTATTTTATTTTCAAACTTGAAAAAATAGCAACGTTGAACTAGAGAACATTTTGAAAGAATCAATAAATCAATAAAAGTGAATTACCCATTTTGCTATCTCGGTGAGATTTATCCGTACCAAAATGAAACTGCAATATGAGATTACCACAAACGACATTACATATGGTACAATACAAAATATAGTTTAGGAGATACTCACATTTTTCAATTGCTTATACGCGCAAACTCGCAAAAAATGTAGTTCACGAAAGGTAGACTCTTTGTCTATTTCGCTCTATTGTGTTTGTAATGTCCGGAAATTAAAAGCTTTTTTGAATCCCTCTGTGTGGCGAGGACATATTGGTCTTTTCTTTTGCTGCCTTTCGTACCGCAGCGCTTCGGTAGGGTTCTGACCGTGGTAATCAAGTGTCTCCCACCCACGGCCCCAGCCGGAACAAGTTAGAAGCTCCCGACCGGTCTCACGGCAAGTGTGGTAGTGAAGTGCGAGTAAGTGTACGTATGTATGTAAGGGGGAAGGGACGAGGATGCGGTCCGAAACGCGTTTGCTAGGGTTCTGTTCCAGCATTCGCCTGATGTCGATCGAAGAAACCACGGAAAACTACCGATCAGAGCAGCCGGCCGCTGGAATTCTCCTCCAGATAGCGACTGAATTCGACCTAGCTGACTAGTGTCGAAAATTTTACCACTTTTGGGACTCCAACCTAGGACTTCCCGGTCAAAGGCACTGCAGTGACATTAGTTGATGCACCTCTCCAGGTTTGAAGCGTTAATATGATCATAAATAAGACTGATAAAGATTTAGAAGATTCTTTTGAATCCTTAGGTATCCAAGCCTAAAAATTTCGTTCAAAAATAAAACTATTTTGGAGCTCAGAATCTAAAAGCATTTTAATGTGAGGTTTATTCCATATATCCAGAAACATCAAACTTTTAATCAATCAAAGGATAATCAGCGCATCATTTTTGAAGAGTTTTCACCTGAATGTAACTGGTGGCCAGTAGCAGCAAATGCTGCTCACCGATTCGGCCGCAGCCATGCGTGGCCCGCTCCTATCGCTGTCATTCATCATTTCGTTGGAAGCATTGGCCATTTTTTGTTGAAATATGTATTGTTTCAGAATTAAGGAAAACGTATTTTACCGTATGTGAGTCTAATATATGCATATGTATCATACGTGGAGAGTGCCGCAGTAACCACTATGTCCACCGTGTACCGGAGCAACGCCAGTGTTGCAAGCCGAGAGTATTTTGAGAGACCGACCGAATAAACGGCAACAAACACGCCATGTATTTCTCCGCCTCGACTGTCGAATTCGAAAACTCATACTGTGCCGAAGTCAATGGCGACGCGCCTGGTCAACCTGGTTGTGGCGATGACGAAGCAAAATAATAAAAATATTGCATTTAATAAATTTTAGACTAGAATTGGTTATTTCTTCAATAGATAAACATTTTTGAACAATATTATTTAGATTTATTCAGTAAAAAAAAAGTAAAAACTATATAGACGTAGGAAGAAAAGATTATCAGCGCACGTTTATTTGAGTTACAGAATCCCTTCCCGTCATTTTTAAGTATAAATAGTTGAAAGATGAGTAAAAGTTTAACATAAATAAATTAAAAAAAGAAATTAATTTAAAATTTGCAAGATAAACAATATTTGAAAAATAGTAATTTTCGTTTCTGAGTTATAGAAAACTCATTTGCATCGGTACACGAAGCAAGTATTAATGTAATTGCAAGTATGATTTTTCTGCATTGCTAACAAAATAGCAACTCGCCCTTACCTCTACTCTTACCATTACAAGCAACAGGAGAGTTCAACAGAACGTGCGCATAGTGAAGCTACATTTACGTCCAGAAGCAAAACAAGGAGCGATCACAGCATTTGCTCAATGGATCAGGGAAACTGAACAAAAACCTGATGGAGATGAAGGTCATTGATCCGGAAGCTGAAGTACATTATTTGTCACAAACATATTAAGTCTTTAAAAAAATTATACAATACAAATGTAAAGTAATTTATTATATATCACTGTTTTGTTGAAATAAACATTATTTTTCTTTTTGATAATCAGTATAGTCTGTAATTGTATAGAAACAATTATGCAGCAGAAAATATTTTACTCAACTTAAATTTGTGAATCGACTTCAATTGTTTAATATCATCTGGCAGTGCGTTGTAAAGTAACGTGCATGTATTGTATGTGGATTTCTGATAGAGAGCTGTTGATACTGACACTTGATGAACGTGATTTTTACGATGTGTGTTGTAATTATAAATATCAGTATTGTATGAAAATATGTTTCCACTGTTAAATAAGTCACTTTTGACAAATATTACAGATTCGTAATTATACAGGCAAGGCAGTGGTAAGATTCCAAGCTCAATGAAGAGAGGCTTGCAAGGGTAACGCGGATGGCATTTTTTCATTATTCGAATAATTTTCTTTTGCAATCTAAAGGTCTGAGTACTACATGATGAGTTTCCCCAGAATTGTATACAATATCTCAGGCGGGAATGTACATTTGCAAAATACACGCAACGAGCTGCATGAAGGCTGACAGACAGTGACTCTCAAAATTCAACGAACACTTTTACTGTACACCTTAAATGATACCATAATCCTCCTTATCATGGAAGAAATAGTGCTTTTGAAAGCAGGAAAGTTCTTTATTAGGTGTAAAATTAAATATTTTGTGGTTGCGTAGGCTTCCGCGGCCGAAGTTTACAAGTATGTTGTCTAGGCTATCCGGGACGAGCCGCGTCACTGTCATGGTGGCCGAAACGTTAGCCACCATGACAGTGACGCGGCTCGTCCCGGATAGCCTAGACAACACTTAAATATTTTGGGTCATTACAAATAAGCGTTGCACAGAAATGAACGTACACCATCGCTTGCGCGCTTTGAAACGTACCCGTTGAAATGTTTTCTTGAGTACAAAGTTGTGACAAACATATTAGTTGATGGTCAGATTTTCGGAGAGCATAATCGAATTGAAAATTGCCCCGAGAAGGGCTACGACGATGGAAGAACGAAGACTTATTGTGAATTCAGACTTGAGGGGAAGATCACTACGAGGTAGTGCGATGACAATGGGAAGACATCATTCAACTATTCAAGGTATGGTAGACCAATTCAAGTATGATGTTAAATTAATTAATAAAATAGGCTGAGGCAGAAATCCAATAAAATCCGATTCTCAACGAAGGAGACAAATGAAATATTGTCAATAACATCAGCAGCAATCCTTGCCAAAGTGTCATTAAAATGCCTCCGTGGGTGGTTTTAACAACAGTGAGATTTGTATCCTCAAAAACTGTCCGAAAGTCACTAAGGGACGCAGATTACAACGGGAGAATAGCGAATATGAAGCCTTGGATTTGTAAGGCACAAAATACTGCAGTTCGCGAAATAGCACAGAAACCACCATTCGGAGAACTGTCAAACAGTGATTTTCAGCATTGAAAGTAAATTCAGATATTTGGTTGATATGGGCGACAGTACATGTGGAGGGAGACAAACGCAGCATTAGAAGATAGGGTGCTGTAGGCAGGCGGTCCGACGAACGGCGACCGATCTTAATTGTGGCGTCAGGCCATGATGGTGGTCAGGCCATGAAGATGATAGTCACGGGAAAGAAGTCCGACAGCGCGCATCACACGTCGTTTTTTCTGCGGTAAAATAGGGTTACTGGGGAAGGAAAGGTGGCCGGAGGGTTTATTTTAAGCATCTGATGTAACTTGTTTTTAATTTATTAATATACTTCTTATATTGTTGTTATTTTAAATTATTGTCTTATTCCACTACATCACAATATTTATTTTTTAGTTTACTGACTAATTGTAAGATTTCGTTAGAAATAGTTTCGGAAATAAAAGTCGTGTCGAAAATTTTTCGGAAGGTGTTGATGTTGAATTTGACGGTTTTTTACTTCCTTCGTGGGTTCAGAATCTCTTATCTATTAGTTTTTATGGGGAAGCAAATCTGTTACTCACCAGCACTGAGTATGAATCTAGTTCACTGCTAGAGGATTTTGTATTTGGTTGGGAGCTCGAATCCGAATCACTGTCGTTGTGACCACTTTTTCCGAAGTAAAAGTTTATTCCGAGGTCATGATTGCTGAAGGAGGCCTTATCTGGTTGCACCTGAGCTGCGCCATTTGCTGCGCCGGGGTTACTAACCTTAGTATTGCTATTATTGTAGAAAAGGGTTCCAGTACTTGCTGTAGGGATGAGTTCTGTTCGGATTGATCGCTGTACTACTGAAGATTCAGTCTTGACGGATGTTCCCCATAGCTGTGCAGATCTTCATTTTATCTTCATGGGAAGTGGGAAGACACGCGTCCGTGACGTTATCGAGATTGTAGGCCACCACAGCGCCGGCGATGGTGTGGCCTAGGCCTCTGCTGTATGATGTTTTTATTCATTTATATATTTATTTATTTATTTGATTATTTTGTACATCGTTTTTGATAACTTTACATATGTATTGATGACTTGTAACTTAACTAATCCTAACTTAAGACTACTACCGAGGTTGAGGAAACCATAATTCACCTCATAGGATCTATTCCAGATCTGAGAACAATTTACAGCATATGTGGAATAGATATTTATTTTTTAGGCGAGTGGGATAGATGGGGTTTTTGCAAAGTTTCAATGAAGATAAGATTTGGATATGGTGTACATTAGAGAAGAAATTATGGGACAGGTAGGTGATGTGGTGCATCGAGGTTGAATTCATTGTGTAACTGATGCTTATATATGAACCAGCATGCATTAGTGGTTGTACAGAGGAATTGGTTCTGTACTATTTGAATTTTGTTGATGTTTGTTTTTGCAGCTTTGATCCATACTGGGCAGGCGTAGAGAAGAGTATGTCTGATTATTCTTTTGAATAAAGTTATTGCCGTTTTGTGTGGGAGGTAATTATTTGTATTTATTAGAGATTTTAATTGATGCATTTTGATGTCTATGTGCTGTTTCCAGTTCATTTTGGTGTCCATGTGCAGTCCAAGATATTTTATGTGTTTATTTGGTGGGTACCTTGGGATGGGCTCATTATTTAATGTTAGTGAAGTGGATTTAATGTTAGTAATGTTGGTGAAGTGTATGGTTTTAAAAATAATATTTTAGCAGCAGTTTTGTTTGGGTTTAATTTTATTTTTCGATTTGGATGACCAACTGTCTATTTGGTTTAGATAAATTGTATGTGGTTTTTAATATTGATTAGAGAGTGGCTGGAGGAGAAGATATGTGTGTCATCTGCAAACTGTGCTGTTTTTACTGTTTCATCTACGGGGATGTCTGCTACATAGAGATTAAACAGTGTGGGTGATGGGGGTGATCCTTCTGGTAATCCTGCTTTGATTAACCTGGGGTTTGATTGATAGTTGTTGATTGTTACTGCAAAGGTTCTGTTGGACAAAGAGTTTTGAATTACTGAGGTGATGTAGGGTGGAGTACCTATTTTATTTAATTTTTTATATATTAGTGCCTGGTGCCAGACTATCAAATAACTGTGTTATGTGATGTGAGTATTGTATGATTTTTTTCTGCAATGCTGTGTTGAGATGTTCTGAGATTCTGAGGAATTGATGTTGTGTGGACATATGATCAGTGAATCCAAACTGTTCTCTTGGGATTGCTTTTGTCACTAGTAGGTACTTAGTCGTTGGAGTATAATTTTTTCGAAAAGTTTAGACAGAGATGGTAGAAGGCGATAACTGTTGGTGTTAGCTGAATTTTTATTTGGTTTCGGAACAGGAAAAATGATGGCATGCTTCCAAGTGGATGGAAAATGATTTGTTCTGAAGCATGAATTATATATATTTCTTAAGTATGCAATTGCGGGGGCTGGTAAGTGTTTTGGTATTGAATTAGTGATATTATCATGACCTGATGCATTTTTATTGGGAGAGTTAATGACTTGCTTTATTTTTTAGGATTTGTGTAATGAATTTTGTGATATGGGCCGTAGTTTGGGAGGTTTATTGTCTGTATTATTGTGTTGTGATCTGGGTGCGGATTGGA